CCATTCTTTTCACTAAATATTTTTTGTTTTGGAAAATGCAGTTATTTTTCATTAAAATATTACCTATATTAACATAATGGGATTTTGAGTTTTAATGAATTAATAAATACGTTTTAAATGTATTTGGTTTTAATTTCTATAATGAAAATATTGATAAACAAAAGCTCTTTGGGTCCTCACTAAGAGTGTAAAAAGACTGTGAAGTTTGAGAATCACATCTATAAAATATGATCTTAAAGTGCTTTCATATCTCATTTAATCCTCCAACCAATGCTGTGAGTTGTAATGATAATACTTTTTATAGAATACTTCATATTCTCTGTGCCAGTCAGTGGTCTATGTGTTTTATGTACATTATTTCATTTAACCCTCGCAGTAGGTTTTGAGATAGTCCCTGCTTTCAGATGAACAAAGCAGGCACAGAGAAATTAACTAATGTCCTCAAAGTCCCATAGAAACATGATATAGGATAAAATATGTAATATTACCAAAACTTATTTGACCATGAAACTTTTTTTATTTTAATGGAACAGTTGATTAGTGTGCCTTGAAATATGTTTTTGAAAATGCTGCAAGTAGGAGACCATCAAAGGGAAAAATAAATAAAAAGGCTAAATAATACTGAAAGGGTGATTAAAATGATAGAAAATGACAACTGGATTTGGCAGGATTGAAATCATTCATAATCTTGAGCAGTTTCGTTGGAAAAGAGATAAAGCAGAAGCCTCCTTGGAATTGATGGAGGAAAGAATGTGAGATAAAGTGGAGACAGGGAAAATGGGCTCTAGTTTTGCTATGCAGAGGGTCCAGGTAAATGGAATTTTTTAGAAGGGAGATACTAGGGCATGTTTATACTAATGGTCATAATACAGTAGGATAAATAAAGGATGTTGAGAGACCATATACAGAGAGGAAGGGGAGTCTTTCCTATGTGTGTGTGTATACATAGTCATACACATATGTATACACATCTGAATCAGGAAAAGTTTCCTTCAAGAAATGACGTTTGAGGGGCAACTGGGTGACTCAGTCTGTTAAGTGTCTGCCTTCGGCTCAGGTCATCTATCCCAGGGTCCTGGGATCGAGCCCCGTGAGCCCCATGTCAGGCTCACTGGGGAGTCTGCTTCTCCCTCTCCCCGCACTGTGCTCTCTCATGCGTGCTCAGTCTCTCTCGAATAAATAAATAAAATCGTAAAAAACAAAAAACCAAAAACATTTACTCTGCAGCATGGAGAAGGGGTTAGGGAAAGGCAAAAGACCAGTTGAAGCTGGATGGATTCGGAGAATCATTCCACTCTGCTAAGGGAAAAGGCTACAGAGTCTGGAGTACAGGGCACAGAACAATGACAGGGAGAGCTAGGAGAGGGGAGACAGTGGTCAATTTGAGAGATAATTATGTATATCCTTAAAAGCATTTAAGTATATATACATAATGTATATATACACATGTACATGTACACACATGTATGTAAAAAGCTTGTAGTCATATATAACTTTTATAACTTTATTGATATAAAATGTATATACACAGGCAATCACAACTCATTAAGTGTTGTGTGGCTTGTTGGATTTTTAGGGTGACCTGTCCATGAAACTTTTGCCCAGATTTAAAAAAAAAAAAAAAAGAATATTACTAAGATCCCAAACTCCCTCTCCCTTGAGGCCCTCCCAGTCATTATGCCACTATCCCTAGTGAGAGCCACTGTCCTACTTGATACAATTAGATTAGTTGGTTATTGAGAATGAGGGACACAGTGAGGGAATCTTTTATTGATACATGACATACATAGAAAAGAGTGTAAAATTAGTAGTCTAGACTTGATGAATTTTTATGAAATGAATACCCAGGTAACGTTTGAGGTATAGAACATGTTTCTACCCAGAGAAGCCCATTAGAGATCCAGTGCCCAAAGTGTTTATTGCGATGTAGTCACATAGACACTCTCTGCCAAGCATATGTTAAAATTCTAGACTCCCAGAAGGAAGGCAGATGTTCAGTATAAATCATATTGTTCAAAAAAATAAATCATGTTGTTTGCACAGTCTGAGTACAATGAGCCACCTTATCAGTTAGGGAAAGTTTTATGTCAATATAGGGAACTGTTAACCAAGTTTCTTCTAGGCACCAGGCAAAAGGCCATCCTTACAAGCAGGCCTTTCTAACGATAGCAATCTCAGGCCTCCTGTATTAACTTTTTTTCTGCATAATCACCGTAGATTAGTTTTGCCTATTTTTTTAATGGCATCTGATTTCTTTTTTTTTTTAAAGTTTATTTATTTAAGTAATCTCTACACCCAACATGGGGTTCAAACTCATAACCCCGAAATCAAGAGTTGCATGCTCTTCCAGGTGAGCCAGCCGGGTGCCCCAAGTTTTGTCTATTCTTGAACTTCTTATAAAAGGAATCATAGATGTACTCCTGGCTGATTTTACTCAGCATTACGTTTGTGGGATCTAGCTAGTTCATTCATTCCCATTGCCAAAGAGTGCCACCTTCTCATCAGCATTTGGTATTATCTCTTTTACATTGTGGTCATTCTTGAAGGTATGTAGTAATATTTTATTATGGTTTAATGAGTATGTCCCTGATGACTAATGAGATTGAACCCTTTTTTTTTCCATGAACGTTTTTTTCATGTGTATTGGCCATCTGGATAACCTTTTTCTTGTAAGTTACTTATTCAGATCTCTGGCCCATTTTTATATTGGGTTCCCTGGTTTATCTGTGGGAGTTCTAAATACATATTTTGGATAGAATCTATTGTTGGATATATGTATTGCAGATACCTTCTTCCATTTTATAGGTTGTCTTTTCACTCTTCAGTGGGTTCTTTTAATGAAGAAAAGTTATTAACTTTAAAGTAGCCAAATTAATTCATCTTTTGCTCTAGAGCTTGTGCTTTCTTTTGCCTTCTTTAAGATATCTTTGTCTATGCCAAGGTAATGGAGATAGTCTCCTGTGTTATCTTTTAGAAGCTTATTGTTTTACCTTCCATATTTAGATCTATAGTGCACTTGGTACTTATTTTTGTGCACATGGTGTGAAAGTAGGAGTCAAGATTAATTTTTTTCATATGGCCATCGAATTGACTCAGCGCTGTGTATTGAAAAAAACTTTGTCCATAGCTCTCCGTTTTGTTTCATTGTTTTATCCTGTGCCAGTACCACACACTCTTACTAAGCTTTATAATAAGTTTTAATATCTGATAGTGTAAGTCAACTTATTTTTTTCAAGATTATTTTGATATTGGTCCTTTGAATTTCTATATAAAAAGTTTTAGAATTATCTTGTCATTTCTCCCTTTCTCTCTCTCCTTTTCACACATACACACAAAGAGACATGCACAAAAGAACTTTTTGGGATTTTGATTATATTGAATCAGTAAATCAATTTGAGGAGAATTAATATCTTTGGAATTCAGTGTACCAGTCCATGAACTTGTATATCCCTCCATTTATTAAAGTTATTTTAAATCTTTTTCAATTAGAGGGTCTTGCACATCTTTCACTAGATTTACTTCTAGGTATTGATATGGCAGACATATATGTAGTTATTTGGGCTATCTGCCCAATCTATTCTTTTTTTTTTAATTTTTTATTCTTATGTTAATCCCCATACATTACATCATTAGTTTTAGATGAAGTCTGCCCAATCTATTCTTGATTGAATCTGAATGCTTGTGGTATCAGAAAGCTGTCTCAACTTAGTTCAGAGATAATAAAGATAGTAGTATTCTGTACGGAAGGTCTTCAGAGATCTAAGAATTAAAAAACAAACAGCTGTAGCAGTATGGCTATTTTTTTAGTGAGACAGTTTCTGTACTAAATATTTGGATGTTGAAACATGAAATGTTTATGAAATCATAGTGCACAACTGTGTAAAAATATTAAAATATGGACATCTTAGGTATCATTACTGTGCAGTAATACTTCTTGGTTGAATGAAATGCTGTACAATTTAGGTGTGGTTTTAGTTTCAGTTAGATAATCAACATTTCACCATGATTTTACATATTGAGAGTAGAAAGAATTAAGTGTCAGCGTGTGTGTGTGTGTGTGTGTGTGGAGGGGTGAACTGTAATATTAAGACAGAATATACTATGATGCGATTGTAGAGTGAATTATGTTTTCAAATTTGTGGCTGTGACAGCATTTTTATTCCTAGAAACTTGAGGAATGAAGGAAAGAAAGATCTAGTTGTAAGGTTTAGCAAATTACTTAACATTTCTGTGCCTTCATTTCTTCATCTGCATGCAGGGGATAACGTACCCTTTTGTAAAGGACTTAGAACAGTGTCTGGCTCATAGTAAGTGCTTAGTATGCATCGTCATCATTGTTGTCATTATTATTATTTATTTTTCTGCAGATCTGTAAACACCAAGAGGGCATGGACTTTGTTTTGTTCATTATCTTCCACACCTTCTGTGTACTAGATTGTGTAGGTACAATCCCTGCAGTCATGGAGCTTGCAATCTAGTTTGTACATATTGTAGATAATAAATCATGTTTATAATAAGGCAAATGAACACAGGCATCATGCTCCTGTAAGAAACTCTCATGATTTATAGAACATCTATTTACTGATTTTTTGCAGTGTTGTTTTATATCCTTGTTTAAGTTGAAATCCTGAGGGGAATGTTAGGCCGTGGTCTCATGGTTGTGCAACTTTTTGCTTGAACTACTGATAATTAAGTCCTCTCTGGTGGTAGGATGTCCTGGGAATTGAAAGACTCAGATTTAAATTCTAGTTTTACTGCAGATTTTGTGTATGACTCTGAGCGAGTTACTTCTTAACCTTGTCTGTAATTGAATGTACTGAATGATATCTAAGATTTCTTCTAGCTCTCATTTTGTTATCAGTCAGCTTTTCCAAATTACGTTCTGCAGGGAGAGGAGAGCAGGAATCCATTGTCTATAATATATATTTGCCTTATAGCTGAATGCTGAAATAAAAATGTTGAGCTCATATTTCATAATTGTATTTTGGTTTTATTTATAGATGCCAGAAGTGGGTGGAGAATTGTAGGAGAGCAGACTTAGAAGATAAAACACCTGATCAACTAAATAAACATTATCGATTATGTGCCAAACACTTTGAGACCTCTATGATCTGTAGAACTGTAAGTAATAGAAGGGCTTGAGTTGTTGTTTTCTCTCTCACTCAGTATCTGGTTGGAAATGTAAATATTTAATAATGCTGGAGTGTATCCTTGGACCCCACCACTTTTTTCAAAGTTGAAGACAAATTCGGAGCTAATTGGTATTCTTTTGTTCTTAAAAACCCTGGATTTTTTTTAACCCCCCCTGTTTCTGATGCCCCCGTCCTACTCACCAGAGGTTGCCACTTTTACGTTGCTTAATGCAGCCTTCAGAAAATTTTGGATATTAAAGTGTTTGTTTAAGGTAGAGGTTGTGTTTTTATTTGGAGCAACTTCTCCAGAGCTTTTTTTATGAGTGAAATCTTCATTGAGAAATGGAGCTCTTTGTTTTCATGTTTCCATATATACTGTTAGAACCAACCCTTAATTTTTATGTGCAAGTTACAACAAGAAGCAAATCATATATTTAATGTGAAAAAAAATTTCCATCAGTAATTTTCAATTTCATATCAAGACCTGGGTCTCTCACCCTTACTACTGTTAACTGTGTGAATTTGGCCATGTCACTTTCCCTTTCTGGGCCCCAAATTCTAATAAGGAGATTAAACCACATAATTCCTGAGATCTTAAGATTTTTAACCCTCTGTGATTCTGTTGTTGCTGTGACTTGTAAGAGACACAAATAGGGCAGATTTGATCGAAATGAAGCAGACTTGAAACACTTTAAAAATTAGTTAGGAAGACAGTTTTGTAAATAATATATTCTTGTTTAGGTATAACTAATGTATCATCTCAGATATTGGGATAGACATAAACTTGATTTGAAGATACACTATATATTGTTACGCAGCAATTTATTTTGATATTTTTTTCAGATACATTTTGCAGAGGCATCAGAAAACTAAAGAATGATTGGGTTATTTTATTTCTCAAAATTAATTGAAGCAGATACTTGTGAAGTCATTGGGAGGTGAGCCAATTCCGGTTCAACAGTTTAATCACAAATATTTGAGGGATATTTTTGCCTTGCTTTGTTAAGAGGGTAATAATGATCAACCAAAATAAGGGATTTCATATGTTTAAAAGGCAAACTATTTTTATGTTCTTGACATTAAGTAAAAATATCCCAAATTATTTTAAATATACAAGCCATATGCATTTTTATTTTAGTAATAAATATGGTCTATTTATTAGACAATTCCAGTAAGATTAATATGAGAAATGTAAAATTATAGTTCACTCATATTCTTGTTTAGTCAGAGCATAGGACAGAAAGATGAGCTATTTTTGCTTTTTAAATTTCCACATGATTCTTCAGTCTTGAATAAGTTAATGCAAATACGAGAAGATGTTCTTTCTACACATGTAGAAGAAGATACTGCTATTAAAAACCGGCTTATATGATATCTATATCCAAATGTTTGAGAGTTTTGACTTTATTAGTTTGGCATTGAAGGTTTCATCAGTAAACATTCATGGCTACTTCAACCAAAGCCAAATATTATCTTTGATGCTAGAGTAAAATCACTGCTTTATGCTCAAACCTTAGTTCAGCAGTTAAAGATTAAATCTTGATACTGAGTTAAAACTGTCATGCACGTAAATTGAATATAGCTCTTTTTTGCATGTGAACTTATAAATCAGTATTTATAAAAAGTAACATGTTTTTAATTCGTGTTCTGTTTTTTGGTCTGTAATATCTTTATAGCAAATTAATTTGATTCGAATTTAAGAAATGCATTAAGAATGTTTTATCCCTCCTCTCCTTATTTAATAATTGGTAAGATATCAAGAGTTGACGGTGTATGTTGTGACATGTTTGTTTGCTAAGCAGGAAAGATGCGGTATTTGGGGTACAGTATCGTTTTTGCTCCCTTCAGTGATTGTGTCCCTAATCAATCTCTGATTGAAAATTCCTAGTAGACTCAGGATAATTGGCCCAGCACTAGAAGCTGAGTGTCATTAAGAAATATATTAAAAAAAAAAAGTTTTCTTCTTTCTGTTTTCTATGAGGCATGGGGTTGAACTGGAAAATATTGAATCTGAATAGAAATACTTCCCAAATGTGTTTAACAACTCTTGAAATAAAACCCAAGGTAGTGTGTTCCCTTTAGTTACATATTTTTTTCTTCATATCATCCTAACCTTCCTTCCCTGGGTGAAAAAAATATAGTTGTTATTTTTGTTTGGCATATACTTTGAACATGCTTTAATAGTCAGCTTTGAAACAATCACTGCTCCTGAGAAAGCTTTTTAAAAAGAAGAGTGTTTGTCTTAATCAGTGCAGACCTGTGAAGAAGTTAAAGGCACTGTTTCTTTGGACTAGCTGAGGGGAATGTATGCAGTTATTCATCTGTTACTCTTCCTGTTAATAAACTTCTTGTCCCTACCTGACCTCTGGGTTGGCTATTGAAGACTGTCAACATCTAAGTATGCATCCAGCTTCTAGCCAGGTTGGCTTAGGTTAACAGGAATTAGAATAGAGAATAGTCATCCTTCAGTGATAAGAACATTAGAATTAGAAATTTAGAAATACCTAGTTCAGTGTTTGTAGAAGTCCAATTAGGTATATCACGGTTATGAATGAATTCAAGTGGCACATGAGTCAGTTTTTATTTTAGGAGTTTCAACAGTATGTGTTAAAAAATATAACTAGCTAGGGCGCCTGGGTTGCCCAGTCATTAAGCATCTGCCTTCGGCTCAGGTCGTGATCCCGGGGTCCTGGGATCGAGCCCCACATCGGGCTCCCTGCTCCGCGGGAAGCCTGCTTCTCCCTCTCCCAC